TTCTCCTCTCTTTCTCCTTCTCCTTCTCCTTCTCCTTCTCCTTCTCCTTTTCCTTCTCCTATTCCTTCTCCCTCTTTTCCTCCTTCTCCTCCCTCTTCCCCTGCCCTTTCCATTACTCCTCTTTTCCTCCTCCTCCTTCTCTTCCCCTTCTCCCCTCTTCCTCTCCTCGCCTTCCTCCTCCTCCTTTCCCCCTCTTTTTCTCCTCCTCCTCCTTTCTCCTCTTTTTCTCCTCCTCCCCACCCCTTTCCCCTCTTTTTCTTCTCTTCCTCTTTCCCCTTTTCTTCTCCCCCTCCTTCTTTTCCCCTCTTTTTCTCCTCCTCCTCTTTTCCCCTCTTCTTCTCCTCCTCCTCCTTTTCCCCTCTTTTCCCCTCTTCTTCTTCTCCTCCTCCTTTTCCCCTCTTTTTCTCCTCCTCCTCTTTTCCCCTCTTCTTCTCCTCCTCCTCCTTTTCCCCTCTTTTCCCTCTTCTTCTCCTCCTCCTCCCTTTCCCCTCATTTTCTCCTCCTCCCCATCCCCCTTTCACCTCTTTTTCTTCTCCTCCTCCTCCTCCTCCTCCCTCCCTCCCTCTCTTTCCCCTCCCCTTATACGAGAATAAGGCAGTACGTTCCCTCTCTCTCTCTCTCTCTCTCTCTCTCTCTCTCTCTCTCTCTCTCTCTCTCTCTCTCTCTCTCTCTCTCTCTCTCTCTCTCTCTCTCTCTCTCCCTCCCTCCCTCCCTCCCTCCCTCCCTCTCTCTCTCTCTCTCTCTCTCTCTCACCCTCTCTCTCTCTCTCTCTCTCTCCTCTCTCTCTCTCTCTCTCTCTCTCTCTCTCTCTCTCTCTCTCTCTCTCCGTCTTATTGAGTTCAAGTTCTTCCTCTCTATATTCATGAGAAACACGACAGGTAGGGAAAAAGGGCGTGTGGGGGGGGGGGGGAGTTGACACCCGGTCGAGCTAAGCGATTTTTTCCCCTAAAACGAAACAACTGGAAAGCGCAGAGTGAGTGATCGGGTATGGGGGGGGGGGGGGGGGGTCCGAAATCGCGAGGATACATGTGGGTGTACGCGTATGTGTGGGTGTGTGGGTGGGTTTGTGTGGGTAGATGGATGGGTGGGTTTGTGTTCATATGGTGGGTGGGTTTGTGTGTGTAGGTGGGTGGGTGTGAATGAGTGGGAGTGGTATTATGTGTGGGTGTTGGGCGGGGGGTGGGGGTGTGTAAGTGTGTTGTGGGGGTGAGTGAGTGTAAATATACTCCAATAAAATTTATTTAGCATAATATTATCTGTAGGTATATGAGTATGTGGGGGGGGGGGTGGAATAAATATAAGCCAATCAAACCTATTTATCTTAATATTTACTGCAATAAAAAATATATATATATATGTTACTTTCGCCAGGCATAGCACTTGTCTCATAAAATATTTACGAATTTGAGAATGCATGAAAATATCGAATTAAATATTTATTGCTACCTCGCTCCTAATCTAAATTTTGTTAATGTAATCTTCAGTATTAAGCCTTTTTTTTCTTTTTATCTATCTTTCTTACTGTGATTGCATTAAAAAAAAGTACGTGAGTGAAAAGGAAATGTGTAAAAATTCTGTTTGTATGTTTGTCTCATTTCTCTTCATTTCGTCCCATTTCTATTTCTTGTCATTTTTTGTTATTTCTGTTATTTGTTTTCTTTTCCTTCGTATATTTATTTATGTTGTTGTTGTTTAATATTTCTGCTAGTCGAAAGGTAAAATGGAACAAAGAAGGTGAGGGAGATGGAAAGAGGGAGAGGGAAAGAAAGGGAGGGAAGGAGAAAGAGAGAGAGAGAGAGAGTGAGAGACAGACATGAAAAAAGACAGACAGACACACACAAACACACACACACACAACACACATACACACACACACAGATAGACAGATAAATAGATCAAGAGACATATAGAATGAGATATAGAGAGAGAGACAAACAAATCAACCAACAAACAAACGAACACACAAGAGAGAGCGAAAGAGCAGTCCGCCACGTATTCGAGAAATATTACGTCACAGCCTCGGCTCTCCGTTTCTGACCAATCAGCGTCGTGGGATTCATTTAACCTATTTAGGAAAATGACTCCAAGGGGTGACTTTGGTATTTTTTTCTCTTGCCGTTTTGCGTTCATGGCTGGTGTGTCTCTATCAGAAGATGGAAGTTATTAGGAGTCAATGTGAGGCATCGGGTTCATACCTCTCTTTCTCTCTCTTTCTGTCTCTTTTCTTTTTGTCTGTTTATCTACCGTTCGGTTTATCTTTTTTTTCTCTCTCACTCTCTCTATTTCTTACTTTTTTCTTTCTTTTTCTCTTTGTTCATCTCTTTCTCTTTATCTTTCTTTCTCTTTTCTCTTTTCTTTTCTTTCTCTTTCTTTCTCCCCTTTCTTTTCTATCCATCCCTTTATGTACCTATCTATCACAGATTTGGCATGAAATATAAAAATTAAAAAAAACTATCTTTAGATTTGAAATTGAAAAGAAAAGAAAAAAAATAAATGAAATATAAAAAAACAACGGATAAAAACATAGAAAAAATAGCAAAGCAGGTGACGAATCAATGAAATATACAAAGATAGATAGATAGATAGATAGATAGATAGACAGATAGATAAATAGATAGATAGATAGATAGATAGATAGAAAAGGTATGAATGAGAATGAGTATCTTCACAATACAAGAGATGTATTTGACCGGTTTCGATTATATCTTCGTTAGATATACATGTATTTCTGACGAAAATATAATCGAAACCGGTCAAATACATCTCTTGTATTGTGAAGATACTCATTCTCATTCATACCTTTTCTACATTTGTCAACATGAATACGGTTCATATATATATATATACACATATACATATATATATATATATATATATATACATATATATACATATATATATATATATATATATATATATATATATATATGTATACATATAATATATATATATATATATATATATATATATATATATATATATATATATATACACATCTATATACATATAGATAGATAGATAGATAGATAGACAGATAGATAGATAGATAGATAGAGAGATAGATAGATAGATAGATAGATGGACAGACGATAGACAGATAGATGGACAGACGATGGACAGATAGATGGACAGACGATGGACAAATAGATAGACATATATATATATATATATATATATATATATATATATATATATATATATATATATATACATGAAACAAAACAAATCTAATATCACGAAAGAAATCAACGAAATATAAAATAACAACAATGGAAATTTAGAAATAATACGAAAATGCAAACCTAACACTCCCCCCCCCCCCATCCTTCAACAGCTGTTCCAGTCCGCGGGCGTGGCGTTCATCGCAGGAATCGTCTCTCTTATCATCTCGTGTCTGGTGGAGCTGCCTCTGCGGACGCTACTGGATGCACTACTGCCTTCCGAAGGTCTGTGATCGGGTGGAGTGGTGGAAGGGGGGAGGGGTGGAGGGGTGGAGGGTGGAGGGGGGGAGGGGGGGAAGGGGGGAGGGAGGGGTGGAAGGTGGAGGGTGGAGGGGTGGAGGGGAAGGGTGGAGGGGTGGAGGGGTGGAGGGGAGGAGGGGAAGGGTGGATGGGTGGAAGGTGGAGGTGGAAGGGTGGAGGGGTGGAAGGTGGATGGGTGGAAGGTGGAGGGGTGGAAGGGTGGAGGGGAAGGGTGGTGGAGGGGTGGATGGGAGGAGGGGTGGAAGGGTGGATAGGTGGAGTGGTGGATGGGTGGAGGGTGGATGGGTGGAAGGTGGAGGGGTGGAAGGGGGGAGGGGGGAGGGGTGGAAGGTGGATGGGTGGAAGGTGGAAGGGTGGATGGGTGGAAGGTGGAGGGGTGGAAGGTGGAGGGGTGGAAGGTGGAGGGGTGGAGGGGTGGAAGGTGGAGGGGGGGAAGGTGGAGGGGGGAGGGGGAAGGGGGGAGGGGGGAAGGGGGGAGGGGTGGAAGGGGGAGGGGTGGAGGGAGGAGGGAGGAGGGGTGGAGGGGTGGAAGGTGGAAAGGTGGAGGGGTGGAGGGGAGGAGGGAGGAGGGTGGAGGGGTGGAAGGGTGGAGGAGTGGAGGGGTGGAGGGTGGATGGGTGGAGGGGTGGAACGGTCGATGGGTGAAGGGGTGGAGGGTGGAGGGTGGATGGGTGGATGGGTGGAAGGTGGAGGGGTGGAAGGGGGGAGGGGGGAGGGGTGGAAGGTGGATGGGTGGAAGGTGGATGGGTGGATGGGTGGAAGGTGGAGGGGTGGAAGGGGGGAGGGGGGAGGGGTGGAAGGTGGATGGGTGGAAGGTGGATGGGTGGAAGGTGGAGGGGTGGATGGGTGGAGGGTGGAGGGATGGAGGGGTGGAGGGATGGAGGGGTGGAGGATAGAGGGGTAGAGGGGTGGAGGGGTGGAAGGGTGGAGGGGTGGAGGATGGAGGGGTAGATGGGTGGAGGGGTGGAGGGTGGAGGGGTGGAAGATGGAAAGGTGGAGGGATGGAGGGGTGGAGGGGAAGGGGGAGGGGGGAGGGGAGGGGTGGATAGGTGGATGGGTGGAGGGGTGGAGGGATGGTTGGGAGGAGGGGTGGAAGGGTGGATAGGTGCAGTGGTGGAGGGGTGGAGGAGTGGAGGGGTGGAGGGGGGAGGGGTGGATAGGTGGAGGGGAAGGGTGGAGGGTGGAGTAGGGGTAGAGAGAGGATGGGAAAGGGGCTGTTATGTCGTTTGCGTGGCGCAGATTTTTTTTTTTTTTTTTTTTTTTTTTGGGGGGGGGGGTAGAGAAAGGGTCTTAGATGTATCATTGTTGTTCTTACTATTCTTGTTTTGTCTAATCATTATTCTTATTATTTTTTTCTAGATCTTAAACAGACTTAAATATTCACAAATACACAAGCAAGTACATAGACACACTTAAACATCCATAACTACACAAGCAGGCATATACACACACTTAAACATTCACAAATACACAAGCAAGCACATACACACACTTAAACATTCACAAATACGTAAACAC